ATATTGAAGAGGAAATTATTGCAGACAGGGTGACCAAGAGTACTATAGTAATTTAGCCTATATATCATTAGAAACTAGATTTTTACCTGAAAACAATGGTGCAAAAATTTTTCTGCTGTCACAAAACCTTAATTAACTAAGATTTTTTGAATTTTATTACTGTAATGCCTCTTGTCAATGATCTCTGTTGCCATTACTGTGAACTCGAACTGACTGACAAACACATGAACGATTGAAAGGATCGTTTAGAGAAAAAGAGGTAACCTAAGATGACAACACTAAGTTTATACAAAGAGGTAGAGGCATTTGTAAATTCAACTGAACATTGATTATGAACTACTTCAGTTCTTATTTAGACATGACATTGTCCGAGTACGTCCGAGTAGTACATGTATTATACTATTGGCAAGTCAAAGTGGTTTTCAGATGAGCTGTATGTTATGAGAGAAAATGTTGTAATGCTATTTGACAGATATAAAATATCCAATCTTGCTACTGACAGAAGGGCTTACATTTCCTGTAAGAGGGGTTATAAAAAAGCTCTTGAAACTGCTAAACTCAACCACAATGTTCAACTCATCGAGTCTTCGAGCAACAAGTGCAAGGCAGCGCGGTCACTCATCAGAGGAAGCGTTCGTAAACCAGATACCAGCCCCTCCCATAGTATTTCTCCGGATGACTTCAACAACTTCTTCATCTCTTCAGTGGAACGGACGGCGACCTCGGTGTCGGCATCAGCAGCAGCATCCAGCAGACTCGTGGGGAATAGGCCTGCCCCTCCAGCTTCATTTGTGTTCAGTGAAGTTTCATGTGATGATGTCTTCCATGTTGTGCAAAGGATGAAACCTTCTACGAGTGTCGATGCTTATGGTATGTCATCTCACCTACTTAAGATAATATTAGCACATATCTTGTTACCACTCACTGATTGTATCAACTACTGTCTGCTTTCTGGCATCTTTCCTCCAAATTTAAAGCTTTCAAAAGTTGTCCCCGTTTATAAGAAGGGCCCAAGGGACAGTCCTGGTAGTTACCGCCCTATATCTCTGGTTTCTGTTGTGGGAAAAGTGCTTGAGTCAGTTGTCAAAGTGCAGTTAATGAATTATTTAGAATCGTTTGGGTTACTTTCAAATTGGCAATTTGGGTTTAGAGCCGGCAGATGCGCCACGGATGCCGTTAGGTGTCTAGTACAGTCTGTCTTAAACTCATTTGAAGGAGGAGCCCTTACTCAGGCGACCTTAGTTGACTTGAGTAAGGCATTTGATTGTGTTCCACACTCCTTACTCTTTAACAAGCTTGACTACTACGGCATTCGAGGCGCAGAGCTGGAATTTTTCAGGTCATATATGTCAGAGCGCAGACAGTTTGTTGAGATTGGAGGGATGAAGTCCTCTGTGAGGAATGTCACCTCAGGAGTTCCTCAGGGCTCGGTCCTGGGACCTGTGCTCTTCCTAATAATGATAAATGATCTGGACGATAACTTGAGCTGTAGATCCCTGATGTATGCTGATGATTCAACTTTCATAACTAGTCATTGTAGTATAAAGGAACTCACTCAATTATCTTCATTAGTTTTGAATGACGCAAAGCACTGGTTTAATGTAAATGGGTTTAACATGAACTCAGACAAAAAACAGTCAATTGTTTTTAGGCTAGGTGCAACTCCCGACAATGAGAAACCAATGTCTGTAAGTGTCAACCTCTTAGGAATAGATCTAGATTGTGGTTTAACATGGGAGAATCACATAAAAAGTGTCAGTCGTAAGTTGTCCAGAGTATTGTTTCTGATTAGGAGGCTAAGAGATTTTGTACCACCGCAGTATGTAAGATGTGCCTATTTTGCATTTTTTCAAAGCCATTTGCTGTATGGAATATTGCTGCGGGGAAATTCAACTCATATTAATAGTGTATTAAAGATTCAGAAGAAGGCAATTAGGCTTTTAACTAACTCTAGGCGGCACGCACATTGTAAACCTCTTTTTAGGTCAAAACAAATCCTTACAGTTGTAAATCTGTACATACTTGAATGTGTAATGTTTGTAACGAGCAACCCAAATCTGTTTGCACAAAGAGGTGTTTTTCATACTCATCAGACAAGAGGCAGGATGGCACTTGATAGGCCCTATACTAGATTAGCAACTGTTCAGAGGAGTTTCTGCAGTGTATCTATTAAAATTGTAAACGCCCTTCCTAACACCTGGCTAGGCCTATCAAGCAAACAAATCAAACACAAGTTGTTAGAATGGCTTATGGACCATCCCTGTTATGACCTGAATGAGTTTTTTGTAGAAAGTGCCAACATGATATTCTAGTCATTATATTTATTCTGACTGTCATTATATTTATTTAGTATTAATCTTATAACTCTATGCATGTTTTTTTCTATCTATTTAACTGTAGAGCTATTTATTTATTGTAGCGTCTGTGATATGATAGCCTTTCTATTTTGTATGCTAAAATGTGACTGTGATAATGTATCGCTATTGTTTTATATATGTGTCTCTGACGAGGTCTATTGTAATCAATGATTATTTAATGACCAATAAATTACTTGATTACTTGATTACTTCATGTGAGGTAGGTAGGTTGGGTGTTATGCGGATTTGTGACTAGTGTTTTGAAGTTAGGTTAGATTAGGAAGGTTAAGTTTAGGTTATAATGAATCGAGTTGTAGATTTATGTTATCTCCAGACTGTTTTTGCACACTTTGTAAAAAGTGCTATAGACATGTAAAATGCTGTACATTTTTGAAATGATTATTTATGGTGCAAAAACAGTCTGGAAATAACATAAATCAACAACTCGATTCACTATAACCTAAACTTTAACTTCCCTTATCAAACCTACCCTCAAAGGACTTGATACAGTCACGAATTCGCATAACAACAACCTACCTACCTACCTCACATGTCTTTTTTGACTTACAAAACAAATTTTAAGCTGTTCGAGAAACTGTTTGGTTGGGTTATGTTAGGTTAGAATAGTGTCAATTTGTTATTTATTCATTTAATTAAAACTGCCACTACACTATTATCATAATGGGACATAACGGTAACATGGTCAAAACCTAAGCTAAGCAAATGGGTGAAGTTAAGAAAAGAACAAATTTAATTCCTTCTTCTTTTTTCATAATCCAGTCCAGATACAGATTAAATATGTCCGACTTAACCCTTCCCGGACGGGCAAAATTGTGACATAGAACGGGAAAAAATTATAAGAAAAAATAATAATTAATTTTCCTTATTTGTGTTTTGTTATACAAGAGAAAAAAAATAAATAAATAAACACAATAAAAAATAAATTAAAAACAATGGAACATTTCATACTGTCAAAACAATTTTTTACTTGTTTTTAACTACACGGATATATCCGCTACCCGTCCACGGATGAGTAGAAAAGCAGCGGATATGTCCGCCACCCGTCTTTGAAGATACGACCATGACAACGTTAGGCAATAAATAAAGAACAATATGTAAAAAATCAATAAAGACAACGTAGTGTTGAGCGTGAAACGATGAACGTCTGAAGAGAAGGCGGATATATCCGCTTCCCGTCCGGAACATCAAAAACCATAAGTGGATATATCCGCCACCCGTCCTTTATCGCCAAAGACTTAGGCGGATATATCCGTCACCCGTCCGGGAAGGGTTAAGAGGTGTTTATTAATCTTAACTACATTTTAATCAAAATATTTCATATAGGCTAGCAAACTTAAATTAAAGTATTTAGCTGTCTAAGTGTAAGTTGTGAGGGTAGGCTAATATTTACTTTAAAATGGCATATAACCAATCAATAAATGTGACTTGGGCTATTAACTTTGATTTTACAGTGTAAACATTGAAGTGCAGATTTAAAGTTCCAAATATAACATTAAAATAAAATTCAAAAAATCGTAGTTAATTAAGTTTTTGTGACAGCAGAACAATTTTTGCACCATTGTTTTCAGGTAAAAATCTAGTTTCTAATGATGTATAAATTACTATAGTACTCTTTGTCACCCTCTCCGCAATAATTACCACAGTACAACAGCTATCCCCCTTCACTCCTTAAATAATATCCTGTTACTTTATTTAGTTTATAAAAACAAAGATCTTAAAAACACAACTAATAGTGTGAAACTACTGTATCTTGAATTTTATAGTAGTATACACAATGATCGCTTAAGTACCTTGCAGGGCCTACCTTAAATTTTCTACTTGTGGCGTTAATACTATCTTTATACAATCGTTGCGTAAACTACTATAATCTTTAAAAAAGTGTTACGCAGTTAAACACCAATTTTAAAACCACAAAAATAGAGTAACCAAAATATCTGTTTTTTTTAATTAGTAGGCTAATCTAATTAATCTGTATAGCACATGTTTCCATAACTTTCAATTTAATTAGCTGTTTCAAATAAAGTTAGTGTAAAGTATTAATCTGTCATACACAAACATTTTCTTCATAAGGACAATTTGAGTAAAAATCATCTGATTTTGTAAAAAATCTGGTTCAATGGTGTTAATTTACTACATTGTATGTTACATTTATACAAGTTCATGAACCAGCATGATCTGACTATAGGAATGGGGTTTATGGAGGTAAAAATTGGTTTTATCCATTTTTAAACCTTAAACCCAAAATTTTGCAATTAATTTCCTAACCAATAAATCTAATCCAATAAATTAGTAGGCCTATATCAAAGTGTTGTTATACAATTTATGGTTACGGAGAAAATAAAAATAATCTTTAAATTTGAATTACCATAATTTTTTGGGGAAGAAACAAACTGTTTGATTGTTTATGGATATTTTGGGAAATTAACTTATTTCATTTAAGCTATTTAACATTTAACTAAAACCCCTTTTTAATTCATTCCTTTTTGCAACAAACCTGGTATGATTATTTACTTTCAAAATGGATACCTAAAGCACCCAACTGGCTGCATACAAGTAGGTTACAAGTATTAGAACTTTTAGGAGCCTTATTCTAATATCAAACTAAAACTTACTCTTTTGTAGGTGTTTGAAAGACAACGGACAACCCTTGTACCACTGCTGCATAGTTTGACTGTTTGGACAAGCTACTTTTTTGGTAGAAACATGTCAGTTTTGTAAGTATTTTTGATAAAATCAAACTTTTGGTCAGCATTCAGCTAAATATGAATTCTGTGTTATCATCATAATGTTTCTAGAGCATTTCAGTTGTAAGCTCTAGTAGTGATTGATGATTAGGGGTAGGGTAGAGGCTCTCCTCTAACACAAAGAATAGGCTATAAAGTTGAGGGGAATAATGGATTACAGTAGACTCCCTCTCGTTCGGCCATCTCGGGACCGAACCACCGGCCGAACTAAAAAATGGCCGAACTAACCGATGATATATAAAGAAGACTACTTTTTCTGCCGTAAATGGACTTACTGTACAGTATAAGGGATCTATACACTAAACTAAACCTAATTAATAAGACTAGGCTTAGGCTAAGTGTAGTTTTTAAACTTACCCTCAGAAATGTTGGTATTGTTTAATGAAAACACGTACTGAACACTTGACACTGTACTGACATTATTCATTTATTTCACACACAATAAACATAAATAATGTAGGCCTAAATACAATAAAAAAGAATCCACACAACACTGAAATTTTACAGGAATGATGTTTAAACTACAGTACTGCACTGTAATGACAAAGTTTAAAAGAAATCAGTAATTTTTCGCTGTACCTTTTCTTCAGTTGATTTCTTTCTAGCATAGTCACGCCATTTTCTAAAAAGCATTAAGTCAACTGCTGTAGAACTCGTCTGCTGTTCGATGTAGGTTGTAGCCAGTTGCAGGGCTGCCATTCCCTCAGCGTGACTCATTTTACACTCGTCGTCCTCATCACGGTCGCCACCTTCTTCTTCTTCTCCTTCTTGGGTTTCTTGACGCTGTAAAACTGATTGAGCGATTTCTTCGTCGTTCAAAATTTCATTGTCCACCTCCTTTTCGACAGATACCCACTCCAAAACATCTTCAAGCTCAACATTTTCACTGTGAGGCAATTGCTGTAAATTATTTAGGATGTAAGCTTGGTCGTCTGCTTCACTTTCAAGGTTGTGCACATCAACAACATTGCCTTCACTTGCAACAACTTCTTCAACATTCGGCCATACCTTTCTCCACGACTTAACTAATGTTGAAGGTTGTACTTCGTCATAGGCCTTTGCTACCATGAAAATCACGTCCTTCATGTTGATTGTCTTTAAAACCTTGATGAGATCGGTGTTTTCGTCGCTATCCAGTTTGTACAAAACTTCTGAAAGAAGCTTTCGACGATACTTTCTCTTGAAACACTCTATTACCCCTTGGTCCATTGGCTGTTGGAGGCTTGTTACGTTGGGGGGCAGGGAGTACAGTTTTATTCCAGACTCGCCATCACATTCTAACTCATCCGGATGGGTAGGCGCATTGTCAAGAACAAGAAGTGCGTTTACAGGGAGTTTTAAACTCATCAAACGACTTTTTACTTTAGGCACGAACTCACTAATAAACCACTCTTTAAACAAATACGAGTCCATCCAAGCAGACTTCTGAGCCCGGTAGTACACTGGTAGTTTTGATACGTCCAAGTTTTTGAATGCTCTCGGTTTTGCTGATTTTCCGATTACAAAAAGGGGCAATTTATGCGTACCCGAAGCATTGGAGCAAAGTGCCACTGTGATCCTATCTTTACTGACCTTAAACCCAGGGGCAGACATTTCTGTTGCTGCAGCAAATGTTTTCCGTGGCAAGAGTTTATAGTACAGCCCTGTTTCATCGATATTATAAACCTGTTCCGGGCTTAGGTTATTCTCAGCAATAATTTGCTCAAATTTCTTTGTAAACTCAGCTGCACCAGCAGGGTCTGCCGACAGCTTTTCACCACACACCCCAAGAAAATGTACCCCGTGTCTTTTTTTCCAACGGGAAAGCCATCCCTCACTTGCGACAAATTCCCCCTCCTCACCAAGTTTCCCATGTAAGATAACCGCCTTCTCCTTTAAGATAGGGCCACTGATCGGCGTTCCCCTTCTTCGTTCCTGCATAAACCACACCCAAAGAGCATCGTTCACCAATTCATTTTTAGGTTTTTTTAAAGTGCAACGTGATGAAAGAGCTTTTTCCGATTCAATCTGGGTACAAAAATCCTCGATCGATTTTCGGTTTCGACGCCAGTCATTCACGGTGCTTTTACCAACCCCCAAATCTGTACAAATACTTTGGACCGATTCACCTTTGTCTATTCTCTCTAGAGCTTGCAACCGCTGTTGCATTGTCACAAATGTACGTTTTCGTTTAGCACTCATAACAATGTAAAGTACGTACAGTCACTTATAAGTTAAAGTTCAGTTAACAAAACACAATTAAATCAGTTCACTAAGTCACAACAACTAATGTGTACACACGAACGTCCGGTACTGTACTGAACAGTGAACACGTGTGCAGTGAACTAGAGCTAAAACGGAAGTCAGATTCTTATCTGCTTCCGTTTTATAGATACACAATTTAAAAAAACTCTATCCAGGCGGCCGGCCGAACCATCCGGAGGCCGAACCAACCGAGGCCGAACGAGAGGGAGTCTACTGTAACTACTTTTTACAGATCCTTACTAAGTATATGTGTTCAGTGGAACCATAGACTAACGACTATCCAACACAAGAGGTAGCATAGCTGCTGGCCATATCATATTTGACCACGACGATTATTTAAGTTATCTTCAGTAGTGCCGCGATATCATTTTGTTGTCAAATAAAGGTATAACTTGTAACGGTAGGCCTAGTAAAATTTATGTGAATATTTTTTTTTATTAATATGATAAATTTAAATTTAAATTATTTATTTAAATAATTTATTTAATTAATTAATTTATTTATTTATTTTTATTTAATTTATTTTTTTTATTATTTATTTATTTTAATTTAAATTTGGATTTGAATCCTAAACTGATGAAATATTTTTTCAACAAAGTCATATTAGCCAGATATACAAGTTTTACAAACAGTAAGACAGTTCAGTCCTTAAGTGAGAGGTCAAGGGTCAAATTCAACAGCAGCCAGGTCGGCTGCATGAATTACGTTATATTTCACTCAGTGCTGCTCTGTCCCCTCCACCTAGGAGTGGGAACGGCGTGCATGCGCACTAAAGAACACATGGTCAACAAAACCACGGGGACCTATCTCCTCGATCTCGACTCGGTCAGTTTTCAACCACTCAACACGCTCACTGAAATTCTCTCTCACTCTGGGTTTGGGTAATGACCTAATAGTCTAGGACTTGTAAATTTTTTTCAGTTGAGAGTTATAGGTGAAATCACAAATAATTATAATATTTTGATTATTTAACATTTTAACTAATTTATTTATTTATTTGAATACAGTTTAAATATTTAAATCAATATCAAAAGTAAATTAAAATTTATTTGACTCTAAAGAATTGTATTCAGGGCCGTGAGAACACGGTAGGCCTACAATAGGGACTTGTTAAATGGTAACAAATAATTCGGTTAATGTCTAAAACGAAACCAGTACATTTCAATCATACAGGTCCGTGCAAACACGGTTGATTAAATCATTATTTTAACAAAGACTAAACTAGTGCTTGAAACTTAAATTATGCAGATCCGTGAGACAGCGTACTGTAGGGAATTACTAAACAGTAACATTCAATTTATTTAGCGTTTAAAAAAAACAACTAAACCAATCTCTATAGGTTCGTGCAAGCACGGATGATTAATTAAGTGTTTAGTTCAAAGTTAGGAACAAACCTTAAATCATACAGGTTCGTGAGCACATGGTACTATAGGGATTAAGTAATAAACAATCCAGTTAAGCCTCTATGGAATATTAATTATCAGAGGAATATTAACCAATTAACGTTTAAAAATAGAGGTTCATAGCAGACACGGACTAATTTTAGTCTAGTTGAAATAGTCTAAAATCAGAGTAGACCTGTGCTGACTAAATAATACCTTGAGTACAGTATCGATTTGTAGGATAACAATTATTTAGTAAATGATTCTGGAGAGGTTAGTGTAATAACAGATGATTAATTAAGTATTGTGCTCACATAGAGGCAAACTTTAATCATGGGTCCGTGCAAACACGGTAACCTTTGAATGAATACAATGAATTTATTTGGCCAATCAACAACAACATTGTTACAGGCTATGTCAATGTACAAGCATAAAATAAAATAAATATCAAGACTTAAAAATCAAACCAAGCAAAAATCGATCAAAACCAACCATGTGAAAAAAAATATGTTCAAGACCATGCACAAAAAGATTCAGAGCAAACAAATGCAGTTCATGCAAAATGCATGCACTATGCAAAAACAGCAAACAGGCTGTTCAGAGGAAAACTTAACTAAATACAGTTTCAAAAAACTCTTTGAATTTGAAAAAAGGATTTTCAATCAGCCAATCAAATATTGCGGTTTGGAAGTTCTTTCTTTCCAGATTTCTCACATGACCAGGAAGGTGATTGAACAGTTTTATTCCTGAAACAGGGTAAGACCTAGCTCTTTTATCAGTCCTGGACCGAGGAATGACAAGCTTAGAACTAAACCTAGTGTCATGATTGTGCACTGAACTGGTTACATGTAAATCATTCATGCTGTTCTTAATACTAACAAGGCATTGGAATATATACATATTTACAACTGTCAGAATTCTTTGTCTCTTAAACGAGGGCTTACTGTGTTCTTTATAGTGAGCATGACAGAGAATCCTTACTGCCCTCTTTTGCAGTCGCAGGATCTTTTCGACATTGGGTGAATGGCCCCACAAAATTAACCCATAGGATATGTGAGGTTGGAAAAATGCAAAGAAGGACATTCTAAGGGTACTCTGTGGCAATTGGTCACTTAGACGTCTTAAAAGATGTACTACTCTACTTAGTTTAGTACAGACTTGGCTTATGTGGTCTTTCCAATTGAGACAGGGGTCAAGGGTTATACCAAGGAGTTTGACAGGCTCTTGGAAAGGAACAATCTGGGAATCACATAGGCTGAATGTTATTTACTGTGTTTTCTCATTATTGAGCACTAATTTATTGTCAACAAACCAATTTGAGGCTGACTCAAAAATCTTCTTAAC